AGCTATGAACACTGAGTCGGTGCATCTTATAGCTGTGACGGTGTTCTGTGTCAGTCTTGGCCGTCTCGTGACCTTTCACACTCCTACGAGCTGAAATTGAGCTGGGAGGAGTTGCTAATCCAATGCTGAAGGTTTTTCTTCCCTCTACAACACACCTACTGCTCGTGCCCCATCTCCCCCACCTCCCCCACCCCACTCCCTTGCAGTGGGTGTCCACAGCAGAAGATAAACACACTCTCCTGTCCGGCTATGATATGAAAGAGTTCAGAAAAAGTTACCCGGTTCCTGCTGTTGGATCCAGTCTGTCTTCGCTGAGGCTGAGCTTCCTCTAGCCGCCCGTCAGGAAAGGCGTGCTTGTAGAAGCAGTTTGAGCCAAAGGGGCACGTTCCACGACCCTCGTCAAAGTATCGGCATGGTTTACTTCTGGAGAAGGCAAAGAGGAAACCAGAGAATAAAGATGCCGTCTCGACAGCTCACACCAGGACAGCTAATCCTCGTGTGTTTCAGTTTCAGATCACGACTCCCCACACTGTGTGCTCACCATCCCACAGCTTCCTATTCAAAAATCTGCTTCTTCTTCCTGCAGGTTTTATAACTTGCTGTCGTCGGCCAGCTGCAGAGTTATAAAACCTGCCTTAAAGCTTCAGCTTCAGTCCTGCTCCTACTGCATTCTCGTTTAGTTTAGTCAAACTAAAGATGAACAACAACTCTGTGTCACCGTTTCCCACACTACACAATATGTTGTGTATACATGAGATGGTGCGACGCCTCGTTGCAGCAGCGATGCTCTTTAGTGAGTGTGGGCGTGTCATGCAAACCCTACCCCATGCCGTCTTTGTATTTCTGGATGAGTTTCTGCTTGTCGTCCTTATCTTCCACCCAGTACTCACTTGGGATGACAAAATTGGATGTGATTCGACACTCTGGACAAGACCTGCCCCAAAAAAGAAAAAGAAAGATTATTTTTGTTTTGACCCAGTCTCATCGTCTGACAATATAAAATGGCTTTAAGTGACTATTGTTGTGATTAATATTTATATAAATAAAATGGACGTGAATAAAGCACAGCAAGCATGCACTCACACTAGAACAGCTGGGGATCAAACCATCATCCTGTTGGTTCAGACAACCTGCCCCACCCTGAGAGCAGGGTTAGCAGCCACAGACCTCGGCTAGTGTCGCATTGAACGAGCTGATGTTTTCTTGACAGATCTGCGATGAACCTGATGTTTTCTATAAGCATCGTTTTGCCTATAGATATTTTTGCATTCCACTTTCTGCAGCTACAGATATTCAA